ATTCTGCCATGAGGACTATATCGTCGGCAAATTGAAGTTGAGTAATGTACTCGCCACTGATGTTAATACCATATCCTTCCCAGTCCAGTACCTTGAAAATGTCTTCCAATGCAGCGGTGCAGAATTTCAGGGATATAAACTCTCCCTGTTTTACACCTCTCTGCAGTTGGATAGGTTTCGAACTCGGGTTCTGTACTAGGATAGCCATCGTAGCCCTACTGTACAAATACTTTAGCACTTCGATATACCGACAGTCAACTTGGCACCGCTGCAGGGACTGTAGCACCGCACAAATTTCGACGGAATCAAAGGCTTTCTCATAGTCCACGTATGCCAGGCAAAGTCGCAAACTGTACTCTTTGGTCTTCTGTAAAATCCGCCGCAGGGTATGTATATGGTCTATGGTACTGAAGAGTTTTCGAAAACCGGGTTGTTCGGGGGGCTGGAAGTCGTCGAGTCTGCGTGAGAGACGATTCGTAATGACTCTCGAAAACACCACGTAGACGCGGCTCAGAAGGGATATCGTACTGTAGTTCTTCAAGAGAGCGTTGTCGCCTTTTCTTGAAGAACAAGACTACCAGTGCGGTGGTCTTGTTCTTCAAGTTTCTGCTCCACTCCTCCGGAGTAGTGCCACCATGGAGGACAGAATTGAAGAGCTTCTGAAGGACTTCAAGTACTGGTGTTCCACCCTCTTTCAGAAGCTCCGCTGTAATTCCACCCTCGCCTGCCGTTTTTAAGTTGCTGGAGAGCCGTAGTGTGTATCTAGTAATAATTTCATTTGAAAAGCTGTTTGTGCAATTAAATTTTTTTGTTCAAATAACCTTTTCATTATTGAGTTAGTGATAAGCTTTTATTTCCGTACCTCATTTTCATTTTTCATTTATAGTTGTCTTCTTTAATTATAAAATGTCTAAATAACACTTCCGCTTCTCCAACGATGCTTGAATTTAAATAACGCAACTTTTAAACCTGATTCTAAATTTATTTCTAAATTAATTAATTTTCTAAATTACTAATCATTTATAAACCGCATTAGCTTCAGTTTAAGACGTAATGTAAAACTTCCTACAATCTAAATATTTAAAAATCAATCGAATTCTTGGTATCTCCTGCTTGTCTTTAATTAAAAATGCGTACCATCTCCATGAAATAATTTTTTTACTAACCGAGTTTAAAGAAGGAATGGGTTCTATGATCGAAGCGTATGTATTTTTATGTATGTTCTCCAATTTCTCGTTATACCGATTTAAATTAATTATTTTTATTAAATAGGTTATTTTTCAGAGGTGATGAATGGAGAATTCAAATTTTAATGTACACATTAAGGTTAGTAAGCTGAATAGATATGTAAACTGAAGTGACAATGGAACCGACAACCAATGGGGAAACAAGGTTTTCGTATGGCAACCTTGTACCGAAATATGGGGCGGGCCCCACTAGACAGAGTGACGACCTGGTAAAACATGCAGAACGCCGATGCATGCCACCTGCATCATATATCCTGGTAATGTCAGCTTCGTACTGGTAGGCGATGTGTAGGCTACCCCCAGTAGGTGAAGTGACGAACTGATGAGACATGCAGGAAGTCGATGGATGCATGTGGCTCAGGACCGTGCTTTGTGTCATTCCTTTGAGGAGGCTATGTTCAGCAGTGAACTTGTGAAGGGCTGTAATAATGATGATGAATCTATTCGTAATGAACCTAATCGGACTATTTGTCCCCCATACTCGTCAACAACTTCGAACTTATTGTCCCAATAACTATCGACGCCGATAATGCCGTTCCTTGTGACATCTTATAACGTTTAATTATACTCCAAACTTATATGACGATGATGAAATAAGTACTTAATCTTATATCATTAAATGGACATTTACTACCATTACCATTATAACCTATTGCAACTCATGTTCTCTTATAAATCATTTCTCCTTTTATATAAAATGATTACTATATATACCAGATAGATAAGGATACATAAATATGTTTTGAGCTTTCTAAAGGCTTAGTAATAGGCCGATTGTAATATTTGACGTGATCGTCTTACTTAGGAACATGTGATGACATGGTCAGTACATTAGGCGATTGTGCTCTGTCATATTCATCCGTCAAAAAATGGATAGCAGAATTTAAGCGTGGTAGAGAGAGTGTGAAAGATGAACCCCACTCTGGAAGGCCTTCGACGTCAACTACTGACGAAAATATTAAAAAAGTACTTGATTTATTAATGGGAGACCGCAGATTAAAAATTAGAGAGATAGCCGAGATTATAGACATCTCTTATGAACGAACTCAAAACATCATTGTCAACGAGTTGGGTTTCCACAAGGTGTCTGCGAGGTGGGTTCCGCGACTGCTTTCAGTTGAAAAAAAAAGGACGCGATTGACTATTTCACGCGACTATTTGGAGTTATTTGAAGCCGATGCAGATGATTTTTTGAATCGTTTTGTTACTTTGGACGAAACATGGGTTGATTACTGTACACCGGAAACAAAACAACAATCAAAACAGTGGAGAAGACCTGGTTCACCATCCCCTAAAAAGGCTAAGTCGATTTTGTCGGCAAATAAGGTGATGGCTTCAGTATTCTGGGACTCGAAAGGTGTGATTATGATTGATTATCTTGAAAGGGGTCAGACTATAAACTCTGATTACTAATACACCTTACTACGTCATTTACGAGAGGAAATAAAAGAAAAACGTCGAGGAATGCTCAGAAGAAAAGTTCTGTTTCATCAAGATAACGCCCGTGTTCACACGTCAGTACAGTCAATGGCTGAAATTCACAACTGTGGCTTTGAACTGTTACCGCATCCGCCGTATTCACCTGATCTGGCACCATCAGACTTCTTTCTGTTCCCTAACCTAAAAAAGCACTTGGGAGGTCAAATATTTTCGACAAACGACGAGGTCAAAGCAGCTGTAGACGCATATTTTGACTCTAAGGAAGAATCATTTTTTTTTCAACGGTCTAAATGCTTGGAAGGGGAGGTGGCAAAAGTGTATGGAACTTGATGGTGATTATGTAGAAAAATAAAAATATAACTAATTTTGTATGTGTTTATTTTCTTGGTTAGGCCGAGTACTTTTCAATCCACCCGTAGACCTTACTAAGCCTGCAACTTTACAAGGCGCAGGTTCGGCCACACATGGAATACTGTTCCCATCTCTGGTCTGGGGCTCCCCAGTACCAGCTCCTTCTACTTGACCACATCCAGCGCAGAGCGGCTCGAATCGTCGACGACCGAGTGCTTTCCGATCGGCTCGATTCTCTGGCACTGCGAAGAGATGTTGCATCCCTTTGCATTTTCTTTCGCATATACCATGGAGAGTGCTCTGAGGAATTGTTCGGATTAATCCCAGCCGCCAAATTTCGTGAACACACTACGCGGCAAACGTCCCGATACCATCCACACCATCTGGATGCTTGGCGGTCCACCACTGTACGTTTCAAAAGGAGTTTTCTTCCGCGTACAACCTCTCTGTGGAATAATTTACCACCAGCGATTTTTCCGGACCGATACGACCTGGGGACCTTCAAGAAAAGAGCTTACTCCTTTCTAAAGGGCCGGCAACGCATCTGCAATTCCCCTGGTGTTGCAGTTGATCATGGGCGGCGGTAGTTACTTAACATCAGGTGAGCCACATGCTCGTTTGCCCCCCTCTTCTATAAAAAAAACTATTATAAGTCTTTATTATATTATGGAATTTGAACCCAAAACTCTACTATTATAATGCTTATGCATCTTAGAGACCTGCTATAACAATGCTTTAGTTTCATAGATCTTACTATTGTAAGTCCCTAATATGGGATTATACATTGTGCAACAGACCTATATGTAGTCGGTTACTTGACCACCCCATATATATGTATACCCTTGGGTATGCGTCTCCAGCAGTTCCCTTATATAAGCAAACTTTACAGGAACACCCTCTATATACATAAACACGCTGCTACTCTACAGGAACACGCTCAATAATGTAGGAAAATTTTGACTAATTTTCCAATTATTTTATAAATGTTATTTATCTGTATTATTATAAAATTTTTGACATGTATTTTTATCACTTAATACATTTAGAATATTTTAACAAAGTTTTTAATAATTTATTGATTTGAAAGGTAACATTAAACCTTTAATTTATAATAATGCTTAATGTTTGAAATGTATTTATTTTAGCTTTATGCCTATTAATGTATTTTAATTGTTTAAGATATTACTTCTCAGAGAAATTTTGACGGCTTTATATAAAAATTAATTATTAATTTTTAATAATAATAACAGGCCGTCTCACTATCAAGAATCAAAAATGCTGAACATTGGCCTCCGTCATAGATTGCTTCATAGGTAGGACATTTTGCCATATTTACCATGCTTAAAAAGTGGGTTGACAATTTGTTATTTTTATTCGGCTGTTATCAGAAAGATGCTGCTGCCCGCCTCCTGGTTCATTTTTCCTCTTGCTGCCCCTTACGCAGCTACCTAGTAACATTATATGAAAATAATAAAATGATATTTTGAGCGGCCACCTCGGGCCGGCCTTTCAATTCCAGCGAACCATGTGGGAACCCGTGTTACCGTGGGAGTTCATCGGAACCCGTTCGGGGCAACATTTTTTTATAGGATAAGGGTGACAAACGAGCATAACATAACATCAGGTGAGCCGCAAGCTCGTTTACACCCTCTTCTATAAAAAAGAAAAAAAAGAAACACAATCCACCTGATGTCAAATGGATGCCGATTGAGAATCAAAATGCAGATGCGTTGTTACCCCTGATGACTATGATGGAATACCTACTCGTAATTTTAAGTGAAATGGGTCTGCGGTTCTCTACACTTAACATACGAAACACAGCAGCATTATGCAACTATTTGACGTTGATATTATTACACATATATACAACATTATATAACAACTTCGCATCGCCCGTGACCTGCATTCAATATATTAACTATAATTAGCCATTGCTAGAAGAATATTCCACCTGATTGGTAGAGTGCTGAAGATGGTATTGATGTTGCCGAAGGTGGTATTGATGTTGCTGATGGCGGTAAAGAGCAGTGCCTTAATTTTAAAGCCTTAAAAATAAAGTTCCCTTCCCTAAATCCCATCTGGAATGAAACTGCATAGATTTACCGTAGAATCTTTTAAAATAAGTCTCAATAAAAGCTTCAACAGTCTCACCAAGAATAAAACTAAACATTAGATAACATTAATATGCAAACAGCGAAGCATTAAACGAGTGAAAAGTGATCACTTACAATCCCGTAAACTCAGCGGCCGCCATTCCAATACCGTATTCCAGTATAAATGGGTGTTTGTTGACCGTTTCGTTTTTATAGCATTAGAGGGAAAATGTTCGTTGGTTAGCTGACCATTTATCTGTGCTCGCTTGTAAATTTGCTACGGTCTGCACCTGATTTCGTGCAGATAGTTGCCTGTTGTTCAGTTTTTTTCGTTGCTATAAGATCGCCGGTGTGCACGAGGGTTTTAGTATTTATTAATCTAAATTACCAATCTAGATTCATCTTTGTCTTTTGTTATGCAAACAGCAAAGCTTTACTAGATGATAGAACTACTTTTGTGCTTAGGAGTCCGTCTGCGACTGGAACACGGCCAAACACTCAACACTTACTTTGCTATGTTTCGTATGTGGTCAAAATTATAAAGAGAGCCAGTAGAATTACGGGCTCTGAAGAATTCCATCCTAGTCCTCAGAAGTGACAACGCAAACCACTGCAGTGGCCACTTACCATCAAGTGGTCTGTAAGTTTGCTTGTCACTTCGTCGGTGATCTATTTTTTTATCTGATTACGATCTGGGCAACCGCAGACTTATACTATTTTAAATACTCGTAGTTAAGGAAATGCTGTTGCAGTTTCATTTCTCTCTTTTGCCTCTTATATACCAACGGAATGATATGAGGTAGAAGAATCTTTTACATTACCAGTGAGTAACGTTTTGTTACTAATTAGTAAATAATTACACAATATAATAAAAAATACGTTGCGAAAATACCAAAAAACTCAGGGGTCAGGCGTTGCGACAAAGTTCAATAAAGCGTAGTGACCCAAGTTTGACTTTGGCGGAAAAAAGTGTTACCTACACGTTTTTCCGCCAAAGTCAAACTTGGGTTTTGAGTTCTGATTTGCTGTGTTTAAATTGGTATTTGTCAGGTATTATGCGTTTGGACGGACTTCACGTGCCCTTGAATTATTTTATTTTTATATTTTTCTATTGCTCACACATGTAGAATTCCTCTTAATATTTTTAATAAAATATCAGCATTTCAAATAAGATTTGATAATTTCGGTTTTAAGTCGAGCTCTTTCTAATTGACATTGTCTCCATTACGTTTATTAGGAATGTAACGTTGCAAAATTAACGTCTCAAAAAATCTAATCTATATATATGCGATAACGGGTGTAAATTTCATTCGAGTTACGATTTCATGATTTACAATCATCTCTAGTGGCTTTACGTTACTCGTAAAATAAGTCGTGCCGTGTCGTTGAGGCTTTAAAAACTCCACTTACTGATCTCATGGATGTCCACTAGACTACTAGAGTTGGCCGACCTTGTAGTGTTCGTTTGACCAATCCACAAATCCACAAAAAAACAAGACAACGATGGATGCTTTGGCATCAGTAGACGTTCTTGGTAACAAATTATGGTAAAAGAGCTGAAAATGTTCCCTTACAAAGTTTTAACTATACAACAATTGCGGAATTTAAAATGAAAAAGCGATTGGCGCTTAGTTTTTTTAAAGACGCCGACTGCACCTCCGTAACCATAACCGGTGAGCACTAGAGACATATGTTGAGTGATTTTTTTGCCGCCAGTTGCTGAATTGGGCCTCGAACATTGTTGATTCCAGCAGGACAGAGCAAAACCTCACACACCTAGTACAATGATGGTGATTTGGAGCCAGATGTTTTGCGACCAACAATTTAAAACGTCATAAAACAAGCACAAATGTGCATCATCTTAGGAGGTGCTCATTTGACTTTCGATTTGATATTATTTTTTAAACTTAATTTTATCAATTTACACCTTCAAATAAACTTTCCGTTTTTCGTTCAGAGCACAAGCTTTTCATTTCTAACAAAATGGCAGCAATTTCATATTAACACATTACTTCCGCGCCACACTGTATTAACGAGTCCGAAAATAAATATATTTAACCTTATATTAATTAAGTGTACACACATTTTCAACATCTTATATACAGACATAGAACTAATTGAACACCGAAGGTAATCTATCACTCGGTGATTTTGAAGTAAAGTTAAAATTTACAAAACTCTATTTTTATTATTTTGAGTTGTTTTGATTCAATTTCCCTTTGTCACCTTTTATTACATGTATTGATATTTTTTTATAGTATTAGTGTGACAAACAATCACATATTCCACCTGATGGTAAGTGAAAGCTTGACTACCTCTTTGGTCTATTATTTGTAGTCGTGCGACTACTGATCATGAGGCCCTAGGTTCGAATCCCGGGTCGGGCAAAAAATCAATTATTGAGTTTTTGCGTCAAGAAATTCTCAGTAGTTGCCCGGAGTCAGGAAGTTGGCGGTATCTCACCCCCGTGCCTCGGAAAGCACGTAAAGCCGTTGGTCCTTCGCCCGATATCTCTCCGGTCGTATTGGTTTACCGTCCTGTCGGATTATGAGAGAGGGGAAAAAAGAGTGCACATATGCGTGCACATACACTTGGGCACTATAATCCTCTCCCGCGTAGGTGGCAAGTCTCGATTGAGGCTGGCCGCCCCCGAAATTCGGTCTGAAGGAAATTAGGTGGAAGCTGTGACCCAATGATATTTATCTGTCCTCGACTAAGAATTAAAGATTATTTTATTATCATAACACGATTTTTTTTAAAAATAATACATTTCTTTATATTTAGATTGCCAGTGATAACACGATCCATCTGAGACGTCGTCCCCTACTACTGGTCGTATGAGGAAGCTTAAGGTCGCTCTGCTGAGCAACCTTGCTCCAATGGGCCAGGCCATTGCCATTTCGGCTATAGCTGGAAGAACCGATAACCTAGCAAGAGAAAGGTTCTGGAGGCGCAGATTTGTATTGGTGACCTAAATTGAGGGGAACTACTTCGATGGATGGATGCAGGTGGCTTAGGAAAAGGTATAGGTGGGTGAAAAAAGGTCCCCCCACTGAATGAAGTGATGCTTCGAACAAACAAATTGCTTTTTGGCATTACATGGGGAGACTTTAATTCAGCAGTAGACTTGTGATGGGATGTTATGATGATGATGAATGTATTTTGTGAAAAAAAAAATTAACTGCTAAGCCAAATGCTTAAAATCAGATAACGAAGTAGACTTTTTGAAAACATTTTGATCCATTCACAGCAATATAAATTTATAACACGTAATCGTGTGAAATGTGAAGCTCGCTGAGAAGTAGCCATTACGGTGTTTGCTTAAATTATAGTTTTTTTCAAGTGTATCCCAGAGACTGCTGGAGGCTTATTTCGACGCCCAACACTGCAATATTACCACGTCAGTAGTTTTTACTCTTACCTGTTTTTATAAAAGTGCTTCGGGCAATCTGTTATAAACCTTTAAATTATTTTACTGTTCTGCATACGAACCTTTATTTTTAATATTTCCAATAGTGGTCAAACAAAACCGTTTCGTACAAACCCTTTACAATATTTCAACTCACTACTTTGCTTTTATTTTAAAATTTAGACGTGTATAGAATTAGTACATTTTAAATAGTACTTGAATATAATTAAAATTAAAACGTGTATATACGCTAATTTTTTAATTTTGTAAATGACAGTACAAATATTTGGAATTATAATAACTTCAAATTAACTTTTCAAAAGTTAAACAAGTCGGCTTTCGTCGGCGTTAAGTGGCAACGAGCTAAAACGTATAAGGTATTTTATTATTTTTACTGTCTACTTAATGATTTGTTATATTTACGCGAACACTATACATTGATTAAAACTACTTTTATTTTTTTTTAAAAATAAATTAAAATTAAACGCCATGAAATCCGTAAAAGTAGTTTTAATCAATTTTTATGGTTTGTTGACGCCAGCTTGTTTTCAGTTTTTTGATGTCATAAAAGGGCTAAAAATATTACTTTCAAAAGTATTATTTTTAGCCTTTTATTATATTATTTATTTACTATTTTGAGGGCACTTAAGAATATTACAGTCCCAAATCGTCAAAATATGTACGTACCCACTTACAGTAAAAAATTCATCGCCTATTTTGCTGTTGGATTTTTTGAAATTTTTCTCTAAATTAATAAAAGTCGTCTTCTGAAGTAAAATCTATTTGAAAAAATTAGAATCATCAAAATTAATTCACATTTGACGAATATATTGCTCGATATCTCGTCCCGCATCGATATTTCGTTCCTTAGTTTTTGCACGTTGAGGTGACCATAAAAATGACCAGAAAATCCACAGCAGCGTCCAGTACATAGCGGTATATGATCTGTAATATACCAGACTTAAAAACAGAAACCGTCGACAGACAGTGAAAGATCAGAAGTGAAAAATACAGCACTACATTCGCTAATCCTAGTGGATTAGCGAATGTAGTGCCGGAGTGCCAAGAGTGTGGCGATCACGGTTGTTATGAGCCGATAAAAATGACATTGGCATATTTTGCCATCATCATAGTTTTTGTTTTTCATTCTAGTCAGATCAAGAGGAAAATCTTTTATATTCGTTTATATTCGTTATATAGTCATTTTTATAAAGTAATTTTTATAGAAAGGAAAAGGTCTCTTATTAAATGAAATGATAATCTGATGAAACGACTGCACTTTAGTTTACCTTCTGTGATGTTAGTGCTGTTAGCCAATGGGCAGCCTCATTGGACTAAGGAACTTGGAGATCATCCTTGGTGGCAATCTATGGAAAATGCCTATGTTCAGAAGTGCACACATTCAATGATAGTATGTTAATACTGAGACTTAAATACATATTTATCCCGAGATTGATTTTAGCCAAGTTAGACTTGAGCACAGATTGATGTAATACATACTTCTAAACGTTGCAACTTTTGTTTAAAATTTTAATAAGCGCATATTTCCTATGTTTCAGTTATTTATTTACAAAAAAAGGTCATTAAAATAATTA